TGATGCAATCATAACAACATTTTGCTTAACTTCATTAACACCTCGGTTTTAGTTTCCATCTATTGGTTAGGTATACTTTTGAATTAAAAGTTGTAGTTACAGCAGTTACGTCTTTACAGAAATTTGTAATTGTATTCTTTAGCCTTTTTAGCTTCCCCAGATTCTCAGTCTCTAAACTCTTTATGCAACTTGCTACTTCACTGATTTTGCTTCAGCTGTATCTAGTGGAAACAGCTCAGTAAAGTGTAAAACATTACCATGACATAACTGAGGCTAGAGTCGCCCAAGTGGCTATATGAAATGTATTTATTCGTTATCTAGTGTTGGTGTCGTGTTCTGTGTCCCTTTGGTCCCTAGCCCCCTCCAGGTGTCGCCTCATGTTGTCTTAGTCTCCCCACTGTAGCTTCTATAGAGCTCCGGGAGTTGACGTCACTTCTTCCGGCATGCAACAGTTCAAATCGAAACGGCGCCATATTGGCATGCAGAAGCCCGCAGCTGGACTATTTGTTATTGTCAGAAAACTCAATCAAACGGGAAATATGGTAGATTCCTGTTGTGCCCCAGGATGCCAGAACAGATGCGGACGACATAAGGAATGAGCCATCTACAGGATTCCCCAAGATCCGGAGTGCCGCAAACGTTGGATGATTGTAATAAAACGCGCTAGTGACCGGGCTAAAATGAAACTGTGGGATCCCGAGAGTAAAGGTTTTTGCTTATGCAGCGACCGCTTCATATCAGGTACGTAAACCAACGTTTCCTCAACTGTGTGTGGTATTTATTTTAAATGCTTTTATTACGATTCTTAGTGGGCTTCCTAAACTTATTTTGGCGTGGCTTTTCTGTCTCATTACTCATAGCAACAAGTAAACATCACATAAAACGTTGTCTCGTGTTTCTGCGTGCTGCCGTTTACGTGTTTTATGATCACAGCAATTAACTGGCTAAGCTGTATTTAATTTTTAAGCAATGGTTGATCAATTGTCAGATCACACATAAAAAGCACTTTGGATTGCTATTATCTGTTAGCCTAGTGAACTAGACCAAATTCTTGCTTTGCAAAGTTTGGTCTAGGCACGCTCCATTGGAACCTCAGCAGCTCCTACCAGGACTCTGGCTAGCCAGTCACAGCTCTCTAGAGGGGTTTCAAACACATAAAGAGCTGTGATTGGTCCATAATGGTGGGCCAATCATAGTGCTCTATCTGCTTAGTGAACAAATCACAGAGCTTTATCCACTTTGTGAGCCAATCAGGGCACTCTATATGCCTGGTGGGTGGGATGATGCAACAGAGTGAAACAAGAGTATGTCACATTCATTGTCCAGTGGAATGCGGAGATCATTTGAAAGACAACGGTAGAACCCGCCCCACAACCGAGAGCCGTCAATGGAGCGTGGCCAGACTAAATAATACATTTATTTAGTCTGGCTTGCCAGGCTAATTATCTGTCTCACCGAGACAGATCTCAGACAGATCCTGAGACGCTCCTGCCTGACAAATTTATTTTATTCACGGAAAAAAATCAGACTAGTGATTTCTCTTGGCGTTCAGTTAATACATTCAAACAGCACAGCACTCTATTTAAACTACTTACGTGTAAATCTGTTATTTGTCCATCCATCCATTTTCATCCGCTTATCCGGAGTCGGTTTGCGGGGGCAGTAGCGTCGAGAGGCCCAGACTTCCCTCTCCCCAGCCACTTGGGCCAGCTCCTCTGGGGAAATCCCAAGGGGTTCCCCGGCCAGGTCCGGTAAGAAGCCCGCTCCGACAGCTTCTGGCGTTTTTAAAAAGTATCCCAGGGGCACGGTAAGGGTCGGAGATGTTTAGTCTATTTAATTTCTGACTATATAAAATGATTTCTTCGGTTTTAAAGTGTGAAGTAAACTCCGACAAAGTAAAATCCAAGCTGATCCCGTTCACGTTCATGTTAACGATCCACGCTTGTTTACCTTTTTTCTTGCCAATATGGCGTCTACTAACTGAGAGTCATGTGGGGTCCGGAGCTCTATAGGTTTATTATTTCAGTTCCTTAGTCCCCTTTAGTGTGTGTGTGTGTGTGTGTTCCCTTCCCCAATTAGGTCTGGTTTCCTCCACTGCTCCGTTCTGCTCCTCCTCTCTATTATTGGTTTCACCTGTGCCCTGTTCCCCACACACCTGCTCGTCTCCTATCACCCCAGCCCTGTGTATATAACCCTGTCGTCTCCATTGTTTGTCGGTCCATTGTCTTTTGTCAGCGTTGTTTTTGCCCCCCTTTAATTACTACAGATCCTGGCTCATGTGTGAGCTTTTGTTTTTGACTTTTTGGAACTTTTGAACTTTGGCTTTGAGTCCTGCAGTTTTTGCTTTTTAGTTCTCACGCCTAATAAAAGGATTCTTTAATTAATCTTCAAACTTTGATTAGCTTCAAATATCTCAGTGAAAACCAAAATATTAAAGAAATAAAAACAAATAAACAATGTTCCCCATGGTGCTACGGTCCATGTTGGTGAGGTCTCTCTATATCACTTGGACCCTGGTGAACATAGGTCTGAAGTGGAGTCCTCTCCTTTCTATGATAACATCTCTTTTGCTCTCTCTCAAAGGACGGTGGATCGGGTGACGTTCGGCGGTCCGACCGTGGTTCGCGTGGGTGTGGTGAACAGGGTGCTGCGTGAGCTGAAGTCGGATCCCGATCTTCAGTTTCGACCAGTGTCTTACTCCTGGTCCTCCGCTGACTCGGTGATGATATTCATTATAGGCATAATGTCACGGTGTAGGAGGTGGAGATGATGGACCATGTGTGGTTGAGCTGAGCAGGAGGAAAAATGCAGGCTTCAGTAAAAGTAAAAATGGTTTAATGGCAGGATGGGATGAACAGGAACACCAGCAAACAGCAACAATGAACTGACAAAGGACAGGGGCCAACAGGTGGTTTAAATACAGAGGGCTAATTAGGGAAACATGGGCAGGTAAACGAGGGACAGGTGAGAACAATAAGGGTAATCATGGCAGGAGAGGAACACAGTCAGGCGGGTAGGGGCAGATCGTGACACATAAACATCTGCTTAATTTGGGCTATGTTCCTTTTCCAAACCTGTCGGTTCTCCGCCGAATTGAAAATTCTGGAGACGTCTATCGGTGATGTACATGGACGCCTGGCCCGGACCTTGGCACCGCGTCGTGTAAGACCGGCTGCCCAGGCGACTGCGCCGGAGCCGGTGAGTTCTCCTCCTCCTCCTCCTCCGACATCAGGGACGTAGAAGGTGGAGGATCCCGGTTATCGGACTCGGTGGTCCCACGATTTCTATCTCAGTTTACACAAATTTGATTGTATGTGAGAGTGCATGGTTGTCTTTCATGTTGTACGTCACGTGCAGACTTAGGGTGTGTTGAGACGGACGTGCTGTGGGCTCCTGGAGTCAGGTAAACGGCCAGGTAACAGTAAGTGTTTTTTTTTAATCTTTACTAATCACAATTCCTTATGGGTACATTGACATGAAAGGGATTTCTAACTACTGATTTACATATCTAATTAACCAAGGCTAATATAGATGGGTTGGCTGTACATGCAAATCAAAAACTGTAACAAGGAAGTTGTTTAGAAAGTTATCATGTTCAAAGCGACTTACCTTTGTCTTAATGACAACATACTCGCAGGGTGGAGGCTTAAAGACGGACAAATCTTGCACCCAGCCGTTCGTGAATTGGATGTGGGCCTCCAGGGATTTATAATTCTTAAACTGCTTCGCTGTGTATGCGCTTACTCCACAGACAAGGTATGCGAAGATATCGGGATAGGACAAAGGTGGAAGATCGTCTGGGTTACCACTCCACTTCGTTATTTCATATGGGTCCACATTACCGAAGCAAGCAATTTTTTCAAAGTACCTTCTCTTGGCGTCTGGACACAATCGGTCGCGATACAGCCCCTTTTCTTTTGCGCTGATTTTGAGCATGATTCTATCACTCCCGATTCCAACACTCCAACACTGTGTGCTTGTTTACCTCTCTGGCCAACTGTCATGGCGCCGCGATCCCACAATATACTGCGGCGTGACGTCAACTCCAAAGCCCTATAAGCAGCCATCCACCACGACTCACTGGGGATCGAGAAGACAGAGCAGACACACACACACATCTACACAAAATATATGTTGAGTAATGTTTCATTAATCTGGGAAAAAACCCTGATAATAATTATGTTTTGTTGCCTGCATCATATATTCAACCCTGGTTCTTTAAAGATCATTCAACTCTGCCTCTTTAGATTTTTAATTATTTTCTGTAATCTTAAATGGTTTTACTCCAACTCCCCCTCCAGCAGATTACTAGCCTAGTGAGCTAGACCAAATTCTTGCTTTGCAAAATTCTTGCTCTGCAAAATTTGGTCAAGGAGCGCTCCATTGGAACCTCTGCAGCCCCTAGCAGCATTCTGGCTGGCCAAACACAGCTCTCTAGAGGGGTTTCAAACACAAAGACAGCTGTGACTGGTTCATAATGGTGGGCCAATCACAGCGCTTTATCCACTTTGTGGGCCAATCAGGGCCCTCTATTTGTCTGGTGGGTGGAATGATGCAACAGAGTGGAACAATATGGCAACAGCTCGTTTGAAATGGCTTTTACACCAGTTTTGGATGAGTTGGACTTGGGTTTTATTAGAACCAGGAGCAGAAATATGTATTTAAGTACTTTAAAAAAAAAAGGATGTATTTTTGCCTTCTTCAACAGCAGACTGCCTCATTTACCAACATCCGTCGCGGTGAGTACGTCATGTGGTTCATTGTCCAGTAGCATGTGGATTCTTTGAAAGTCAACGATAGAACCCGCCCCACGACCGAGAGCCGTAAATGGAGCGTTGACTGTCTTACCAGGCTAGCAGATTACAGTAGTTCTAAATTTTGTATCTTCTGAACACTTCTTCTATGAAAGTGAGAGCTAAATTGTATAGAAGTATTATTCTGTTACTTGTTTATGAACATATTTTTATGTAAAATGAAAAAATAGACTGGACAGCATTGAGTTCAGGTCACGTTTGTCTTGTGTTTAATGTTAAAATCAGATCATCAGTTGATGATGTAGCAGTGAACACAAAATGCAGAGAATGAGTGCTGAAGGGATGCGTTGAAACTTTCCTCTGATTCACAGATGGCTTCAGTGTCTTCTACAGCACAGCCAGGTCCCAATCGAAAGTGAGACTCACACAGACATGTTAGCATCAGTAAGCGTCCCAGCTTAACCCATCAGAGAGAAGCAACTGGCAGTTAGTTCTACAGAAGGGAACAAGCCCCAAGTCTGTAGGAGTCTCAGACCATCCAACAGAAATCACAGAACACTAAAACCTTTACTCACATCCTGCAGGTGAAATACAGCCTAAAATATAAAATGACTTATTTTAAATAGCTGATATTCAGATATTTGCATAGTTGGTGTAACAACTAAAGAGCTGAGTAGACTTTAATGTAAAAAGCAGCTCTGGTGAAGTAAACGCTGTCATAACATCAGCAGCTAGAACACAAGTCAATCATTTTGGCTGTGTCAAAAACTAATGAAATAATAATAATAGAACAGTTTATATCTGTTAGAATACAGCTAACACATCCTGTTGTGCCAACCAAGACTTAGAACTGACACTGTCCCACGTGTCCACAAAATCCTTTTTTAATTACTTTTATACAAAACTGTAGTATGAGGTCCAGTCTTCACTCCAACAACTTCCTGTTATCCTTCACAATATGAACCTCAAACATGTACCCCCAAAATAACAAACCATAGTTATCAAACACTTGCTTCATGGGTAATGTAGATAATGTGCTCTGGTGCTTAAAAAATAGTTTTGAAAAAAGTTTTTTCTTTCTAAACACTTCCTCCTTATTTTAAAGTTCAGAGTGGCTTTAAAGCAGTTTTATCTAACCTTTTAAACTAAATGTGTAAATGAGCTGTCTACATTAGTCTTGGATTTTTTTTATTATGAACATGAACTTTTCATTCTTTTGTCCTTTCAACTTTCTTTTGTGTAATTTCGTTCAAGGTTAAATTTTTTTCTGTCCTTATTTGGAGTGATTAAAGCTTTCGGTGGAACAGCATCAAATCTTTTTGTGTTCTAAAAATTAAGAAATGCACCTTCACAGCAAAGCTGTGACCATAAGTTCCTGGGACCAGATTTCAGATCAGTCTTTCTACTGCTGATGTTGGCGCTTCTCTCTTCTGGAACACTGACAGGACACACCTTGGGTGTTTCTCAATGTCAAGGAACCTTGCCTTGATGTCTTAGCCGCCCCGCCCCGGTTGCCTAGGAGATACGTTATCAGGGGCCACCGAGACGTGTTCCAATCGATTCCAATGTTCATGTTCTACCGAGGCATGTGTTCTCCGTTTGTTAGCCATTTAGCTAGCTGAGCAAGGATACACGGGAGGTGTCTTGTAGCCTAGACTTGGCCAAAAATTACCCACAATACACCACTGTATTTTTAAAAGGATGGCGGATCAGAAGCCGGCAGCTACTTCGGGCACAATTTTCAAGTTTTAAAGTAAGTCAGCGAATTTAAAATGGATTTTTTTTAGATCCAAAGAAGTTATCTATTGTTGGTAAGTTGCTTAATAGTTGCAGCTTCGGTGGCTAGTGGGTAGTTACTCACTAATATATTTAGTTTAATAAATATATACACAATTTAAAAAGTAAAAGGCTTGTTATATATTTATATTGAAACTAATATGTATAAAATATAACATTACCTCCCGTGTCATGTGACGTTACGTGACCGTCACGTGATGCAAGTCTGTTCCATTTAACCGTTTTCTTTGACCAAGGAAGGACAGTGTCCTCGTAAGCAAGGCTCCTGGCCTCGCAAGACATCGCCTCGCAAGGTCAGGCACCTTGACATTGAGAAACACCCTTAGGCTTCTTTCAAAGATAACCACAGAGGGAATAAGTGGAGCCAAGAAGGCTGCCAATGAAAAAATTAGTCAAAATAACATCAAGTAACACATTTTCAATAAGACCTCTTGCCTTATTGGAGAACTTAAGCTGCGCGCACGCGCACACACTCACACACACACACACCCGCAGGCACACACATTACTATTTGTGCAATAGGGGAAAAATGAAAAACAAACTCAGTCTGATACATGAAGAGATTAATTACATTAAGCTACAACAGCCTGTGAAAGTGCAATACACACACACACACACACACACACACACACACACACACTTGTCTCTTTATCTTGTGTGGACTCTTCATTGACTTTCATTCATTTTTGGGACTCTACAACTAACCCTTTGCACCAACATCACCTAATCACATGGGTCTACCACATTGGTGGCAAAAGCATGTAAACAGTGAGCGACACGAGTACAAAAAAAGGGAAAAGTAGAGCCTGAAATTGTTTTCGTTGTTGTTTTTGCGATATTTAGCATTCCTCATACTAGTTCAAGCCCATGTTTTGTTATCAGAAGTGGAGCACCTAGGTGGGGCTCATAGAGAGCAGTATGTTAACTAGCGTACGAACGCTAGCTTAAGTTCTCTGCAGATGTTCGCTAATGTAAACAAGTTACAGACTCTGCCAAAACTCACCTCACTGACTTTATAACATCACGGTATAAACAGCGTTTCACTTTACAACGAAGCTGATTTAAAACAAGCCCAGATCCCTGCTAGTTTTTGTTGCTGGTGGTGTCACTGGCTAAGCTGCTGCACTCACGCCGGGATGAGACAAGATATCTCTTAACGGCAGCACTCGCACTAAATAAATAACGTACCTTTAACACACAATCATATATTTAAGCAATAATATTGTACATACGTATCTCACATTTCACTACAGTGGACGGTACCACGCTTCCTCCATCCATCCATCCATCCATTAGGATTATCAGTATAAACACATCACTTTTATCCCTGTCCCTGTCTTTCTCATGAAACATACGAACGTTAATCTTACCCAGTAAAAACATGTTCGCTGCAAATCCAAAGATACTTTGAGGGCTGCTAGTCTGTTTGATCGCTGCAGTTTATCTCCTTCCTCCGTCTCCATCAAAGTTATTCGGAGGAAGAAAAAAAAGAGTTCACTTTACATCCTTGTCTGTTAGTGCAGCCAATCGCGCAACGAGCTGTTACCATTTTACTGTGAAATCTTTTTGCCATCCACCATGGCCAAGGGGGTGGTCCCACGAGTGGTGTGACGTCACGTGCAAAGGGTCAATAGGGAGCCTAAGTCTCCACCCCTTCCAGTCGGCTCATGGGTCCCCGGAAGAACAAAAAAATGAATGCAAGTCAACGGGGCTAAAAGAGCTATTTTCTAATCTGTTTTGCCTTACGCCCTGGATCACACATATGCTGTACTTCAATTTAAATGAAAAGTAATGATGGGTGTTTCGACCACGCCAGTCACGTACTTTGAGATTTATCAGCTTGTAAAAGTTTGTAATTACCACAACTACAAATTTGATATCGGTATGTACCACATGGCCAGATTTATAGTGTTTATTTCCTCCTGAAGGAAGGATTTGAAGTTCTCTGAACTTACAGCCATTTTCCCTCTTCTTTTCTCCGTGTCTGGTTTGATGACGTCACTTTCGTGAAACATATTTGTAGTCCTGGACTTATTTTCACACAAAACCTGAGCTAGCATTTCCCCCCATTCGAAAATAAGTGCTTTCTTGGTATCAAAATGCATCTTTAAAGTTCACAAACATCATATGTCAAATGGCACATAACAAGTATTATTAGCCCCATTGACTTGCATTCATTTTTTCGTTCTTCCCAGATCCACGGTTTGGAAGTAGATGGGCGTGACTTAGGCTCCTTATGCCTAACCCATATCTTAACCCTGACCATAACCAATGCTGTTCTATTTCTAACCATTATTACTAGTATAGTTGTTTCACACTATACCTCTAAATCCATGTTTAAGGATATTTGGTCATTGTGTGGACCAGCCAAATGTCCACACACACTACAGAATAATTGTTAAAATTTGTCCAATTAGGCATATAAAGACAAGTACACACACACACACACACACACACACGCACACGCACACACACACACACACAGTCGGATCTCAGTTGCGACTCCGGCGGTGTCCCGGGGGGTTCTGCAGGATCTGGTCCCATCTCTAAACAGAAAGACAGAAACTAATGTCAGAAATCTTACAGCACAATATCTCAATCAAAAATGACTTCCTATCTCTGGCTCCTTCAAAGGCAGTTCGAAATCTGGGTGTTGTTATTGATGAACACCTGACCTTTAAAGATCATGTTGCCTCTGTTGCTCGTTCATGCCGATTTGCGCTGTATAACATATGAAAGATCAGACCATACCTAACACAACATGCCACCCAGCTCCTGGTGCAATCTACTGTCATCTCCCACCTCGATTACCAGTGTTGAGAACATATTCGTCAGCCCTACCCCCACTCGGATATTCTGACCACAACCTTGTATTACTGATGTCCAAGTATACACTTGTTGTGCAGAAACAGCCGGTAACATTTAAGGCAATGCACATGTGGACAGAGGAGGCATGTGAAACGTTGAGGGGATACTTCGAATTTACGGACTGGTCTGTTTTTACTGATGACAAAGTGACTTGCTATGTTAATTTCTGTACTGATTTGGTGCTGCCTTGTAAACAAGTAAGCGTTTTTGCTAATAATAAACCATGGGTAACTAGAGAGGTTAAGGCTGCAATCAACAGGAAAAAGCTTGCTTTTTACAGTGCAAATTAAGGCGGCACAAAGGAAGCTTAAAACTCTGATCCAACAAAGTAAACTGCATTATAAAGATAAGGTTGAAAGTTCTGTTGATGATTCTAGTTCTAAGTGTCTTTGGAACAGGGTGAAAACCATGACTGGTTATTAAGGTGGGTTTACACAACACGAGGTGGATGTGAATGAGATGAACCAGTTTTTTTTTGCCAGATTTGATGCGCGTGATTTTACACACAACAGACTTATATCGGCACTTGCCTCAGGCCAGGTAGAGAATGCATGTCCAGAGATTAATGTAACCCAGAAGCTAGAACCTTAATGAGGTATTAACTAACTGGCTTACTAATATGATCCATCCTCAATTTAGATAAAATATAAAATATAAATTAAGGAAATTAACAATACTAATTAATAGATATCTAATTAACTAATAGATAATTTCATAATGAATTATTGGAAGGGTGAATAACTAAAATAACGAGTTTAATATTAAACATCGGTTAAAACAAGAATCTTGAACATCACTAACAGAAACAGAAGAGGAAAGCTGTATACTATTGGTCCAGGTGGGAATCTGAAATTTCATTGGCTGAGAGAAATAAGTCCCGCCTCCGCGAAATAAAACCGTGCGACGCAGCTGAGCGAGAGGAGAGACAAACGGCTGTGCAGCACGCAGATACAGAAAGCAAAGACTGAGCGGTTAGAGAGAGAGAGAGAGAGAGAGAGAGATTAAAAAAACAACGGTCGAGGCCGTGAAGAACCCTGATTTGGGTGCCGCATAGATAGAGGGAGAGGCGGACTTGACTCCTTCTAATAAGAGCTAGGAACTTGGAACCAACGCGGTGAGTAAAGAAAAAAGAAGAGAAAAAGCTAACGATGCAACTTAAAAAAAAAAAAGAAACTTAAATAGCTTATCAAATTAATTCCATTCTTATAGATTTGTGTGGAGACGACAGAGTGAACCAATCCTCTGTAGGAGGGAACCGTTGGAGCGCGTTGGCTGGGTTTTTTTTTTTCCTTGGGTTTGATCCCGACTCCTATGATCACTCACTTGGAACGAGAACTGGATTTCTTCCTGACGAGGGAGATGGCGAGCCTTAACCACTGAACGAACCAGGACATCTCAAGTAACTGAAGAGCAGACTGCTCTCTTCTGTGAACAATCTCAACGGTGTGGTAGGAAAAAATCGCACCACCGGACTCTGACTTTCACCCCAAGCGTGGGGATTTGACTTGACGCCGGCTGACTTGTGACTCATATGATCAAATCTCATACCGAGCATTTTACTATTGTCGATTGTTTTCATCTGTTTTGTGTGTTATCTTTATGTGTTATATTTCCCATTATTATTAAAATTTAGTATATAAACCGTTTCATGCTATACCCGTGACTCCAGTCATTCTTAAACAACCTCCAATTCTCCCCGAACCTAATTATTGGCCCATTTGTTTATGTTTTCTTTTAATTATCTTATTGTATCCTGTAATCCGGTTACATAAAACTTGTTTGCACATTTGAATACACTCTAGTTCGTTGTGCCCCTAAGTGTTGTTTCATGCGTGCTGCTTTAGTAGCCTGTTTGTCTTCTTCAGTGCGCAGTTTGAGGAGAAGTGCTGTAAAATGAGGCGGGTTGTCTTTCTTTTGTTCGAGTTGCAGGTTTGAAATCAGCGAGCTGTCCCAACAGCCTCTGCAAAACTGCTTGAGCAGCTGCTGGTCGGCGTCACTGGAGGAAATTCCATTCCTCTGAATAACTAGGTTTAACAAGGTGTATAACCTCTGAAAGTAATCGGAAGGTTTTTCACCACTGTCCTGGTTTGTGTTTAAGAAGCGAGCAAAGAGCTCGTCGCCGTCTTCGACAGCTGCGTAAGCTGAATCGAGATGTTCAAGGTACGTTTCCGGGTCGGATTTTGGACTAAGAGCTTTAACGATGCTCGCTGCTGGGGCTGACAGACTCTCCACGATTCTTCGTACAATTTGGGACTTGGTGAGTGAAGGATCATTTATGCATAACACTATACTACTACGCCAAGTATCATAGTCAGTTTCAAAAGAAGGGTGTGGAACTCGCCCTGAGAACGGTTTTAGTCTGTATTGTGAAGTAGGCGGAGGGATAACCTCACTGCTTTTAACAATGTGTTCCACAATAACTCGCTGAACCTCAGGTGTGTTTAAAAGATTTGGTGGAATGCAAGGGTTTTGTTTTCCAGTCTCTGTAGGTGGACAATTGTCCTTTGAGTTGTTCATATAGTTAACTTCTGGTGTTAAAGGCAGGGAATATGTAACTTGGTCACTATGGAGCATTGGCTCTGGTTCAGTGACTGGTTCAGATGCATGGGTATCCCTTCCTAAAGATTCCCCAATTTTTGCCAGTTCCTCCATTAGAAGGTCTTTAAATGATTGATTGCTACGCGCAGCTATGTCCCTGAGCTCTGACAGATAGGCATCAGTGGCAGATGTGCTAGTTTCTAGACTGTACGCGCTGGCTAGGTCTTGAATATGGAAGAAAACATCTGGGTTCCTAGTACAAGGTTTGTCATAGGGTAAACATTGTTTCTTTAATTCCTTAACAGTGGCTTCATGTTGAAACTCCACAATAATCTGATCACAGTTTGGTAACTTAATGCGCCTGTTAACTGGTCCGAATCCTTCCATAAACCCAAAGACTTCGTTATCAAGGTCTGTATCAGTTAACCCACTGATTAAAACAGCATTTGAAACTTTGACCTTTTCTGTTTTCACAACTTCCATTTTAAAACACTCAAAAGTACCAATAATGCCAAAATGGCAAACCACTGTGACCTCCAGGCACTCTTATGATGTCAGTCAATGGTTAGCTAAGGTAACAACTCTACAATTCTCCTGAGTGGCTCGCCAAGTTTTATGTAACCGGATTACAGGATACAATAAGATAATTAAAAGAAAACATAAACAAATGGGCCAATAATTAGGTTCGGGGAGAATTGGAGGTTGTTTAAGAATGACTGGAGTCACGGGTATAGCATGAAACGGTTTATATACTAAATTTTAATAATAATGGGAAATATAACACATAAAGATAACACACAAAACAGATGAAAACAATCGACAATAGTAAAATGCTCGGTATGAGATTTGATCATATGAGTCACAAGTCAGCCGGCGTCAAGTCAAATCCCCACGCTTGGGGTGAAAGTCAGAGTCCGGTGGTGCGATTTTTTCCTACCGCACCGTTGAGATTGTTCACAGAAGAGAGCAGTCTGCTCTTCAGTTACTTGAGATGTCCTGGTTCGTTCAGTGGTTAAGGCTCGCCATCTCCCTCGTCAGGAAGAAATCCAGTTCTCGTTCCAAGTGAGTGATCATAGGAGTCGGGATCAAACCCAAGGAAAAAAAAAAACCCAGCCTGTAAACAACAGGACTGTTAGCGAGTTGGCATCGACCCTTCTCGTCACATCACAGCATAAAGTCTTACAGACTTAAACAAATGCTTCACTCTATTGGCATAGCCAATCATGTTTGGGTTCACAGTTCAACTAACATAACATCAATTTGATTGTCTATTAAAATAATTCTCAGTAGCTCTGGAAATATAATTACATATGACAACAATTGTTCAGCTCAATAGGCTCAGTTAGATTCTATTACTCTACACTATTCAACAAGAAATACATTCATGACAACAAGGATACATTTAGTTGTGTTTCTATACAGCATTGTGACACCTTGTATATCTGTAACACAATAAATAAATAAATAAATAAATAAATAAATAAATAAATAAATAAAATGTTCTATAACAAAATTCAACAAAATATAAATTCTGGTCCTTTGGTCCACCTTTGTAAAATAATTCCTCCCTAATCAGTTAGCTTTTATTTATTTTTATTTATCTATTTTTTTTATTATTAAATGTTGGTTAAGGGACGCATTGCTAATTCTATGGCGTTAGCTATAACGCCCCTGAGGACCTTGTACATCTAGGCCGTACCACCATTAACTGGCGGTTTGAGCCGTTAACTCCTGGGAATCCCATATGCCCTACCGCCGTTAACTGGCGGTTTGAGCCGTTAACTCCTATATGCCCTACCACCGTTAACTGGTAGTTTGAGATGTTAACTCCTGGGATCTAACGTCTAGCAGCCCACTGCTGTCACCTCGGTTGCTGTAATTAGCTTTTTGAATTTAATAATTTACTGAATTTAATCTCATTCACTCACCAACGCGCTCCAACGGTTCCCTCCTACAGAGGATTGGTTCACTCTGTCGTCTCCACACAAATCTATAAGAATGGAATTAATTTGATAAGCTATTTAAGTTTCTTTTTTTTTTTTAAGTTGCATCGTTAGCTTTTTCTCTTCTTTTTTCTTTACTCACCGCGTTGGTTCCAAGTTCCTAGCTCTTATTAGAAGGAGTCAAGTCCGCCTCTCCCTCTATCTATGCGGCACCCAAATCAGGGTTCTTCACGGCCTCGACCGTTGTTTTTTTAATCTCTCTCTCTCTCTCTCTCTCTCTCTAACCGCTCAGTCTTTGCTTTCTGTATCTGCGTGCTGCACAGCCGTTTGTCTCTCCTCTCGCTCAGCTGCGTCGCACGGTTTTATTTCGCGGAGGCGGGACTTATTTCTCTCAGCCAATGAAATTTCAGATTCCCACCTGGACCAATAGTATACAGCTTTCCTCTTCTGTTTCTGTTAGTGATGTTCAAGATTCTTGTTTTAACCGATGTTTAATATTAAACTCGTTATTTTAGTTATTCACCCTTCCAATAATTCATTATGAAATTATCTATTAGTTAATTAGATATCTATTAATTAGTATTGTTAATTTCCTTAATTTATATTTTATATTTTATCTAAATTGAGGATGGATCATATTAGTAAGCCAGTTAGTTAATACCTCATTAAGGTTCTAGCTTCTGGGTTACATCAACTTTAGTGTTGAAGATGTCCAGCAGCAGTTCAGTCAGCTAAAGCCTAACAAGGCAGCAGGCCCTGACTGTCTATCCATGCACCCTTAAAGTTTGTGCAGGGCAACTTGCAGCCACTTTCACTACATTTCCATGGTGTCCTTGTCTGCTGCTAAAATACCAGTTGTAATGTCCAAAAGGGTAAATTTTCACCTATATATTGATCAACACAATAACCTTTCATCTACAGCATAAATCCACTTTCTATGTGGCCTTCCAGAACCAGAAGGTTCTGTTCAGCATTTGTTGACATTCTATGAAGACAAAACATTCAAACAAGCATTCTCTCCCAAGGTCCGACACTCTCTGCATGAATGCCAGACGTCAACATTCTTCACTCTGAATAAGTGAAGACTCCATGAATTTTGCAACTCATAAGCTTACAATAATCATATGTGATGAATGAACAAGATGTTTAAATGAAATGTTTGAAGAATCTGTGCTTAAACCAATGAATTAGAAATGAATATTGTTCTTACAATGATCCATTTATATCACAAATAAGCAGGTGTTTGATTTAACAAGTTAATCATTTTCTACACTCATACACATCTTTATACGATACAAATTATGGTTAAGGTTCACTTCACATAACGTTTAAAGATTCTTTATTCACAGAATTAGGAATCTTGTAACTGAGGATGCTGCGATGGACTGGCTCTGTCCATGGTGTACCCCGCCTAATTGCCCGGTGTCTGCTGGAGATAGGCACCAGCCCCCCCCCCCCCCCCCCCCCCCCCCCCCTGCGTGGACAAAGCGTGTTCAGAAAATGGGTGGATGGATGGATGGTATCTAAGGAAGGCGTGGCTTTCTGAGGGAAATAAATACTCGGAAACTTGTCAAATTCTGATTTGCCAGAATACGCCAGAAATCATAACATTGTGGTTTCAGCTGAACCCCGATTCGGCCAAATCAGGAAAAGCATTTTTGAATCCATCTTCTCCTTTGACCTCCTGTCAAAGTCTCTCTGCAACGCTGCGGCTGATACCAGACAACCGACTCTTCTAAGAACCAAGCAAACATCAACCTTAGATGCAGATAAGCATTCCAGCTTTCGGCCTTCACCTCGAGGATCTCAGACTGGACGGGTCCTATCGGAGCTATCTACCGGTTCCTGATATCAGAGTTCACTCCACCGGCAGTGACCCACAAGACCCCCGGATCGAATGAGAACCTCCACGCCAAGGGTGCATAGACTTGGCACGACAGATTGTGTCTGAGGTTTGTAAATAAACAATTCTCTAGTTTATAACAAACAACAAATTATTTTACACCCAGATTTCACAATTTCTCCCAGATACAAAGAACGGTTGCCACAACATCTAGCTTCCATCACACCACCTCTCATTATTCATATCTTGTCATGTATAAATGATTTGTTTAGGAAAATAATTAAATTGATTTTATAAACTACATACTGACTCTGTCTGAATTAATACGAAGTGTGTTTATGGTCCCTGAAGAAGTAAAGAACCCTAGAATCTTCTGATTAAACATTCAAAGATCAATCAGGTTGATATTTCATATTTATATGGAATCATCACATCTTATTAGTCATAATTAATATGTAATAATTGCTACACAGTCATGTGGAAAACTTCTTGTCTTGTGTCTATCCCTAAGAAATCAGGTGTTAGCTGTACATTGTCTAAACTTAGATTGCGTTGACATCACACACAATAAAATATTTTGAGAGAGTCGTCCTTAATCATCTAAGAGAACAGCTTGTTTCTTTCAAAGACCCCCTTCAGTTTGCCTATAGAAAGGGTGTGAGCATAGATGATGCCCTTCTGTATCTGCTGGACACCATCTATAAACACCTTGAAAAAGCCAGCAGTTCAGCACGACTTGTGTTTATTGACTTTTCTAGTGTTTTTAATACCATTCGGCCCCATATTTTACGAAAAACGTTATTGGATTTTAAGTTGCACAATTCCACCACTGCCTGGGTTTTAGATAATCTGTTAAGATAATGCTCTGAAGTGGTTTATTACAAACTCTGGTGCACCACAGGGGACAGTTTTATCCCCGCTTTTATTACACTGCACACAGCCGACTATGGGCACAATTTACCATCTTGTCATTTAAAAAAGTTCTCCGATGACACTGCCCTACTAGGCTTGAACTCTTAGGGTGACAACCTGGCTTACAGGGAGGAAGTTAACTCCTTTGTTAGATGGTGTGATATAAATTTTCTACAAGTCAATGTTGGCAAAACACAAGAGCTAATTATTAATTTTAGGAAGAAAAAACAAACATTTTCTCCTATGGTCATCAAAGGCCAACTTATTGAAATTGTGGAGACATATAAATATCTAGGGGTGTACCTTGGCAATAAGTTGAACTGGAAAAGGAACAGCGATGATTTTGTTAAAAAGGCCCAGTCCAGACTGTTTTTTTTTTCTCAGAAAGCTAAGATCCTTTGACATAAGTAGGAGGCTCCTGAATGTGTTTTATCAGGGAATTGTGGCTAGTGTGTTGTTTTATGCTGTGTTGTGTTGGGGCGGGGGCCTCACTGCTGAGGACAAAACCAGAATCAACAAAATGATCAAGAAATCCAGCTCAGTGATTGGGCAAAGCTTGGACTCATTTGATATGATCATGAACAAAAGGATGAAGAGTAAACTTAAGTCTGTTCTGTCCCTGGATGATCACCCTGTCCACCGTGTTTTTAAGTATCTCAGGAGCTCTTTTAGTGGACGAATGTTAATGCCCCGTTGTTCCACTGAACATTTTACAACTTTTATTTCTGCTGCCGTGCATTTTTATGAGCATTTTGTACGATCTTGGATGTTTTTATCATGGTTGTGTCAGGAACCGAGTTCAGAAGACCCGTGAAGACGCCAACACAGTAAAAATATATTTAAAAAGTCTTTATTTAAAGCAGAGGTACCTGGAGGGCAAGGCTGAGGCAGGTTCAGAGGCAGGCTAAGGTCAAAGTGGCAGGCAGAGAGCAAGGCAGGGGTCAGGCAAAAAACAAGGTCCAGAGGCAAAGATCAGGCAGGGTGGATGGCTGGAGAACTACTGTTAAGGCTGTAATAATCTGGCATCTGTTGACTGGATGGCTGGTTCTTTTATAGCAGGGGAAGCAGGTGAATGGGATGAGGCTGATTACAGGAGCAGGTGGAATGAATGGAGCTGATTGAAGCTGACAGAGGTTGCTGGGGAAAACAGGGCTTGGCTGGAGCTTGGTGAGAGGACAAGGTGAAATGAATGAAGGTATAATGAGGAAGTGGAGGAGGGTGAAGGACGGGAGTCAAGACAGAACCCCCCCCCCTCAAGGGCGGATACCAGACGCCCACAGGAAACCAGAGCAGGGCGGGAGGAGGGGGACCAGGAAGGAGGGCCAGAGCAGGGCGGGAGGAGGGGGGACCAGGAAGGAGGGCCAGAAGAGTCAGGGGGACTGGCAACGGGGAACCAGGAGCCGGGACTGTTGGAGCCTGGGGGGCCGGCGACGGGGAACCAGGAGCCGGGACTGTGAGAGCCTGGGGGGCCGGCGACGGGGAACCAGGAGCCGGGACTGTGAGAGCCTGGGGGGCCGGCGACGGGGAACCAGGAGCCGGGACTGTGAGAGCCTGGGGGGCCGGCGACGGGGAACCAGGAGCCGGGACTGTGAGAGCCTGGGGGGTCGGCGACGGGGAACCAGGAGCCGGGACTGTGAGAGCCTGGGGGGCCGGCGACGGGGAACCAGGAGACGGGACTGTAGGAGTGTGGTGATAGAGGACACTGGTGGACGAGGACTAAGAGGGGACTCTGGACCAAGACCAAGACTAAGAGGGGACTCTGGACCAAGACCAAGACTAAGAGGGGAAACTGGACTATGACTAAGAGGGGAAACTGGACTATGACTAAGAGGGGAAACTGGACTATGACTAAGAGGGGAAACTGGACTATGACTAAGAGGGGAAACTGGACTACGACTAAGAGGGGAAACTGGACTACGACTAAGAGGGGAAACTGGACTACGACTAAGAGGGGAAACTGGACTACGACTAAGAGGGGAAACTGGACTACGACTAAGAGGGGAAACTGGACTACGACTAAGAGGGGAAACTGGACTACGACTAAGAGGGGAAACTGGACTACGACTAAGAGGGGACACAGGAACTTCAGACTGGGGAACTTCAGACTGGGGAACTTCAGACTGGGGAACTTGAGGGCAGGAGGGGTCCTCTTCAGACCAGGGGCAGGAGGGGTCCTCTTCAGAGCAGGGGCAGGAGGGGTCCTCTTCAGAGCAGGGGCAGGAGGGGTCCTCTTCAGAGCAGGGGCAGGAGGGGTCCTCTTCAGAGCAGGGGCAGGAGGGGTCCTCTTCAGAGCAGGGGCAGGAGGGGTCCTCTTCAGAGCAGGGGCAGGAGAGGTCCTCTTCAGAGCAGGGGCAGGAGAGGTCCTCTTCAGAGCCTGGAGGCGTCGACCCTTGGACTGGAGCCCCTTGGACAGGCTGGACCGGAGCCCCTTGGACAGGCTGGGCCGGGACCGGGGCCTCTTGGACCTCATCCGTCGAAGCCGGATGCGATGCGTCCTCCGAGACCACCGCCGGAGCAGGATGCGATGCGTCCTCCGAGACCACCGCCAGAGCAGGGTGCGATGCGTCCTCCGAGACCACCGCCAGAGCAGGGTGCGATGCGTCCTCCGAGACCACCGCCAGAGCAGGGTGCGATGCGTCCTCCGAGACCACCGCCAGAGCAGGGTGCGATGCGTCCTCCGAGACCACCGCCAGAGCAGGGTGCGATGCGTCCTCCGAGACCACCGCCAGAGCAGGGTGCGATGCGTCCTCCGAGACCACCGCCAGAGCAGGGTGCGATGCGTCCTCCGAGACCACCGCCAGAGCAGGGTGCGATGCGTCCTCCCGGACCACCGCCAGAGCAGGGTGCGATGCGTCCTCCCGGACCACCGCCAGAGCAGGGTGCGATGCGTCCTCCCGGACCACCGCCAGAGCAGGGTGCGATGCGTCCACCGGGACCACCGCCAGAGCAGGGTGCGATGCGTCCACCGGGACCACCGCCGGAGCAGGATGCGATGCGTCCTCCCGGACCACCGCCGGAGCAGGGTGCGATGCGTCCTCCCGGACCACCGTCGGAGCAGGGTGCGATGCGTCCTCCCGGACCACCGCCAGAGCAGGATGCGATGCGTCCACCGGGACCACCGCCGGAGCAGGATGCGATGCGTCCACCGGGACCACCGCCGGAGCAGGATGCGATGCGTCCACCGGGACCACCGCCGGAGTAGGATGCGATGCGTCCACCGGGACCACCGCCGGAGCAGGATGCGATGCGTCCACCGGGATCACCGCCGGAGCAGGATGCGATGCGTCCACCGGGATCACCGCCGGAGCAGGATGCGATGCGTCCTCCGGGACCACCGCCGGAGCAGGATGCGATGCGTCCTCCGGGACCACCGCCGGAGCAGGACAGATGGAGGTGGGACCCCTGCTGGACATGGATGTGGTGCGGACCCTGGGACCACCGCTGGACATGGATGCGATGCGACCCCGGGAACTACCGCTGGACCTGGACAGGCGGAGCCTCTCAGACAGGCGAAGGTGGAATCTCTGCTGGACGAGGATGTGGTGCGACCTCTGGGACCACCGCTGGACGTGGATGCGATGCTCCCCCTGGGACCACCGCTGGACGTGGGTGCGATGCAACCCCTGGAACCACCGATGGACTGGGGCAGGTGGA